TGTTAAACCGAAGCGAAACACTTGTCTACATTAGCAATTTACATAACTATAATATCCAAACCAACCTATAATAATGGTAGAGCTGATCCAACGGTCACTCACGGCTCTAGAGATAACAGAAGCTGCCTCAACGTCGTCACTTCACTACGTTTCTCACAATCTTCTTCCTCCGTACACGTGTCTCCACCTCCTTCGTCCACCTCATCACCTAACTCACCGCCAAACGCGTAAACCACGTCACGCTGCGACTGCGTCTGATTTGTCGCTTTTACACACGTGTCGCGATCTACACCGTCCATCATCATCATATCGCGGACCTCATCTTCCTTCCATCCTCCTCTTCTCAGCTTCCAAAACGCGTCTTCCAAACACGCGCTTAACCTCTCATCGCAGCCCGACGCGCTCCACCACCCGCGCGTGGGCTCACGCTCCACCGTCATCTTCATCCCCCCTCTCTCCGCCACGTCACTCCAAAACTCCACCCTCCGCCGCCTTCGCCGCGAATCGCCGTAATTCCGGCGATTGAGTCCCTGGAGAAACCCAGCGACGTCGCAACTCAAAACCCTAACTCCGTCGCCGTCGATTTGAAACACTGGGTTTCCCGCCAAATTCGGAGTCGTCGAAGGGACGTAGAAATCGCCGTAGACGGGGACGAGAACCGGAGCGATCTCCATCAGTTTCTTCACGAGCGATAAAGCCTCCGCGTCGGATCCGGGTCGGGTTCCCCAGGAATCGACCCAGAACCCGTTTCTAGCGACGATATTCGATATATGAAGAAGAGGGAGAAGGAGATGATTCCGGGTCGACCCGGAGCGCCAATTGGGGTATTGGGTACCAACCGGAAGACCCGTCTGAAGAATCGAACGGAGATCGAGAGGGAAGGAGAAACCGAGAGAAGATTCAACGGCTGAGATCTCTTGATTGGTGAGACCGGGTAAAATGTGGAGACCGGTTAGAGATTTTAAATGGCTAATTGTGGTTTTGCAGTAAACCGGAGACGGAGGCTTAACGGAGGATCGAATAGGATCTGTGGTAATGTGGCCAAGTGGACTAATTATCCCGGCAAGACGATGATTCATCTTTAGTTTTAGCTGAAAACCAAAACGAAGAGATATCTTATTACTCACATTCACATATATATAATATAAGGGTCAGAATCAAATCTATATCTTGACAAATTAAATTATATGAATGATTATAGAAAGTTATACGTAAATTGGAAACATTGTGATATTTTTCTATAATACGGCGAAGTGCATAAGAGGGACT